CAGCTTACCAATGGCACGAAGCTGATGGTGTACAAATCCATGGTGCTGTCCGTTCTTCTACACGGCAGTGAAACGTGGACGATGTACCCTCGGAATGTGCGATATCTCGAGCGGTTCCATCAGCAGTGCTTGCGACGGATTTTGCGCATCGGTTGGGGCGACAGAGTTGCACATACGAAAGTGTTGTGACAAAGTGGAGTGTATGCAGTGGACTGCATACTTTTATTGAGACACCTGAGGTGGCTCGGTCATGTGAGCCGTATGGATTCGACGCGGATACCGAAACAAGTATTATCTGGTCAGCTGAGCATCGGGAAGCGGCATGTGGGAAAACCAAAGTTGCGTTACCATGACATGATCAAAGTGAGCCTCTCACGTTCTAATCTTGATTGCAGATCATGTGAATCGAAGGCGGTTGATCGGCGTGCATGGCGCGATCTCATCACGAAGGCAGTTGCCGAAGTGCGGGAGAAAGACCTCATACATACAGAGAAGAAGCAGCAAGCACCGATGGGTTGTACTCTATCGACATCGAGTGCATGGTGCTGTAGCACATGCGGTCGCGAGTGCCTGAGTCAGACAGGCCTAGTGAGCCATGAGCCAGGCCACTCGGGACCACTACGGAAGTAACGACCGGTCCTGCAGAGAACGTAGGCAGAACCGGCGCACCGTTTGTAGGTACGCTGCATTAGATTTACTGACCGCGTGCTTGCATGCTAAGTCTCTTTATTTCAGGTGGTGGGTTTTCAATTTTATCCTATTACTTTTCTTTCTCATCTAAATGTCTACCTGTACTCTCTTCTATAAACTTAAAAACGTCGCTTAAGCCAATTGTAGTTAATTTCGATAACATTTTCGTGTTTGTGGCATTTCCGTAAATTATACTTTCTGACCTCGTGAACTTATCTCGGATTCCTTTGTAGACAACTTATTTCATATGCTCATTACTTTAAGATTTATGTCACCGTTTCCTTATGCATTAATCGAGTTATTTTCTTTGTTATCTTTCCCTCAAGTGATTGGCTGTTGCTTGATATCCCCGGTGTGGCTGCGCTTGATGTGCATGTTGACAAGGTGCCTACCTGTCTATTACCCACTACCTCGTCCATACTGGCTCCAGGAGACAGTTGGTCGTTGCTGGAGGGGACAGGGTGCACGGTCCTTGTGGCCGTGTTAGGCTCGAAGAGTGGTTCCATGCACTCAGTGCGGAGCGGACTACTGCCCAGCTACCGGCTTGTGTGCGCTTGATTTCCCAAATACAGCGTGCTTGTGTTTGCCTATGAAGGAGTGTGGGACGACTCCATTGATGAAACGTGGTTCCCATCCACATGCCTCCCGGTCTTATTCCTTCGGGTTTACACTGGATATGTGGTGTGTGGTTGGAGCTGTGGGTGGTGCAGCGCAAGCCATCCATGGTCCCTCTGTAGCCGCAGGCGTCCTGTGGCTGGCCACAGTGACAGGCAAATCCAAAACCGGATGCCGGCAACCATATATATTGATCACAGTCTGTGTACAGATATTGTGCCATCGGAACCATGGCACAATAGAAAAAGAGGGTTAGATTAAATGAACAAAGAAAATAAACAATTTTTGTCCATTTTTTAACTCGAAGTTTTTAAGTTCTTTATTGGGGGAGGGAAGGGGATGATCCATCGAAGGTTCGTCAGTGGGAAAAAAAAACCCGGTTGCCCAGGACGAAGTAGATAGTAAAAAGGGCTGGATCGTTAAGCGAAGTGCGTTCAGGAAAGCTTCAATTGGTCTCTTACATCTGAATCGCTTTGTGAATAGATAAAGAAGGCTGAAATACGACGGCAGTATGAAAGAACTGTTAGAATCGGGAATTAAAACATCGTTCACATATCACCAATCGCTTCTGCATTGAAGCTTCCGATTCCATCGTACCCACGCCGATTAAGAATAGTGGTGAGGCACTGTAAAGAGAACTTTACCGTTTGAAGAAGTATGTAAAGGGCAAACTAGATCAGTCAATTGTGGAAATGAACCCCGAGAGGGAGATTGCACTATTTGAGTTAATCACACAGGCAGCAACCAGAGGTCGGCAAAGACAAGGATACGATTCTCGTACAATGCTTTACTGCGGAATGAAAACTTCGAGTGTGAAATGAGAAACAGGTTACCAGTCGAAACGGATCACAGTTTAACACTGTGGTGAGTGCCGGGTTAGCGTCGGAATTACCACAGCCGGACAACAGCTTTGTCCTCCCATTTCAGCAGTGTATTCAAATCAGTCGTTCCGGTTCGTTAGATGAACGCGTCAGGTGGAAAACACCTCAGCTATTGTGCCACAATACAAAAGAAGAAAAAAAAACATGAAACAGTGGCACACCAGCTGAGTCACAAGTAATAAATGGACTTTGTTCCGGAGAGTTAACAGCCGGCTATGGTGCCGTGAAAAAGGAGTTCCATCGTGCCTAATGAATGAGATCGTGATTGGACAGAAACTCACAAGATAAAAACCAGTAGGGTCGGCTACTAGCCATGCCAACAAGTGTATCCAGCCAAACGTGTTCATCACCCTTCGGTCCCCTACCAGGGAGCTGACAGACTCCAGCCGAGACCAACTTCGAAGTAAGGACTTTCATTCTGTCGGACACGTCCTTCGCAATACGTGAATCACACCGTCGTTCAGCACCCCTTTCCATTCAACTCTACTATAACCTACATAGTCATTGACAGCTTAATACGATATCTCACTGTTTGAAGCGGTACGTTTATTAGAAGTGACTATGCAGATTTTGATTAAATGATAGCGAACCATCAGTACGAAATATTAGTGCAATGTTGTCGTCGCGGATAATGAAGACGATGACGTCGCAAGGGAATTCTTATCGATAACCTCAACAGCAAGTAGTCCCTTGGCCACTTTACGCCAATTTCAGTGTCTGTAGTCTTCGGAGTTCAGGAACCACCAAGGATGTACAGTGTACGACCAGTTTCATGTCAACAATTCACATGTGCACAACTCGCCGGCCTGTAACCTTAAGGATCACAAGCCTGCAATGTAATCTGAGGGAGCGGGTTCGAGCCTGCGTATGGACCGATTGGCCATCGTAGTATACTTAGCCCACGTGCGACTGGTGGTGGCTACGAGGTAGCGATGGGTCGGTACTGCGTACTGCTGATACCACTCTGTTTTAATCAACTACCGTAAGTTGGCGTGGCTCAATCATGACCTGGGAGTGGACCCGGTAAGCCCGACGTCGTACCAACCATCAACGAGTGAACACAGGAGAGGAGCAATGCGAATGAACGCTTGGGAAAAACAGCAAACCATGGCGAAGGAGATGAAGTGTTGCGTCCCACGTGCACCTCTAGACGACAGACAAACATAATAATTTTTCGCACAACCGGAGCAAGTTAGCATGACATTTGACGGGTCTGTGATGCGATAGAGACAGTAATGGCCAAAGTATGCTTTGAAGAGTAGAAAGCAACTAGGGTCGGAGGTGAATCATGCGTGTCTGAAAGCCGCTTAAGTATGTAATTCCCGTTTGTTAGAAGCACTGACGCTTCACTGCACGTGTGTCTGTGGGGAGGAGTGGGGAGAAAAACACTGTGTGTGTGGACGGAATGCAAACATTCCCGCTGAGTTCATGAGCAAGCCACTCGATACTGGTGGAATGGTAGGGTGTGGGCAAAGGACCAGCATACGCAATGCGTGTACGTTGGTGACCAAATTTTGGCTTAAGTCTAAGGAAGTAGGGACAACTCCTACAGTGCGCAAACAGCCGTTGCTGGTCGTTAACTATGGTCGGAAAAGCAAGATAATCGAGATCGAATTGCTATGGGCCGCATTCACTAGATGGCAAAAATTCAAAAAAATAAAATGAGCGGTAGAAACAGGACACAAAAAAGAACCGAATGGTAGTAAAGAGTACAAATTTGGAGAATAATGGTGAGCGCAAAGGCATCGTGGGCCCTATCACTGCAGGACCTCAGGCAGTGATACAAATGGCCGAGAGGGGTATCGGTGGATTTCACCGAGTAAGCCAATCTAATGGAGAGGAGTAAGCCCGTTGTTACATCATTGAAACGTCAAAGGTCAGATCGGAAAAATTATACGGATGGTCAACGAATGGCTATGTTGAGAGAAGAAACATATGAGATAACGCGAATAACCTAGATATGCAGGGAGCTGATCCGCCTCAGCGTACGAATTAAGAGGACGTTTGGAGCTGCTGGTAGGGTTTAACTCAAAAAGATGATACAGGGGAAAGTGAGAACAGTAGAGAGTAAGTAGCAGGAAAAAATTTAGATTTTCAAATAGGAAGCTGGGATATTAACGCAGCACAAGAAGCGGACCCCACACTGCTGTCAAACTAAACCACACTTACGACTCAAACATGGGTTGGTTTGGGAAAAGTGATTTCTGAAGGCATTGGTAGAGAATGAGCCAAATATCCTACCTGATCCGAGGGGAACACACTGATCGTGATGACATGCTACAGCAGTTTCATAGTGGTAAATGTTTGGAATGAGAGAGTCAGAACAAAATCCAAATAATTGGAGAAGCGAGACTTTCTTCTGTGCGGTGGGAATAAAGAGTGACAGTTATGAAGTACAACGGGAAAGGCAAAACTGCTGCTCCTACTCAACTGATACTCTAAGTGAACGTCACCAAGGTCATCTCAGAAATAGGCCCAATAGTCCTGCCTGTAGCGATTGAGAACAGCCTAATTAGGATAGAAGCAAATGACCGGAGGTCAAAAACACAGATGTCGCCCAAGTATGTAGCTGGACTTCGGCATTCGGCACCGGGGTCATACAGCAAAGGGGCACCGAGTCAGCGAGTGGTACAAGTAGTGCAATGAGATCTTTCTAGCAATGCTGAGTACAAGTGGAACACAGTGTTATCGGGTAAACAAAACGCTGCTTAGTTGTCGGTACCGCTTTGGCTCGTTTTCGCACATGCCTAAAGAGAAGCAGTTTTGGTCAATTGTAAAAGTACAGTTCAGTACGGAGTTAGACAGAGGACTCACAGATCGACCGCACGGCTCGTTGGCATGCTGCGAGCACATCCGTGCATTCCGGTCTCGTGGAAGTACTTGATCAGAGTGGCGTTGTCTGCGATCACCGACAGCGAATCGCACGGTGATACGAAGAACCCCATGCGACCGATAATCATGTTCCTGTCCCCATCTCCATCGAATGCAGCAGCAAGATCGATTGACGGGTCGTCAATCACATCCTGGACTAGGTCGGCAGCGTAAGTTAGGTTGGGATCCGGATGTCCACCACCAAAGTCTTCCAACGGAGTGGACTTAATTGCATACTCGGTTGGCATACCTAGTTGCTCACACAAAAGATGTCTGATGTAAGGCCCCGTGACTGCAAACGACAGAGGACAGGAAGTAAAGCGAAAGTGTGTAGGATCTCATTCAAATCAAAATGAACGACGAAACAAGATTAGTTGAGCTGGTGCATAAACGGAACCACAGACAAGGAACAGCAAGGATCCTTGGGTAAAAGCAAATTGACGCAGACAGATGGGTATGTCAAGGCAGACAGAAACTTGTAAGTATAGACAAAGGAATGGATGTTTGTGTGATGTGTAGGCATAGAGCTTCCCCGTTGTCCAAACTGAGGAAGAGCGTTGAGTTAGGAGACCCCACTCGGAGCCTTTAGGTCGTAAGGACCTGCCTCACAAGGCACTGGGGTAATTAAGGTGTCTGGAAAGGTAGGGAGCTAGTAACAAAGCTTGGTTAACACGACAAGTTACTCAGGGCGCTCGAACAGCTCGATTTTAGCAACACAGAGGTCAGGAAATGTTAACTGAAACAACAGAACCGTCGTTGAATACGAAAACCGTTGAGAAAAAGTAACTCATACAACTGATTAGTGTTCGAATGGCAATTCATACTGAATCTAGTAGCCAGCCGTTGTTCATCCGCCTGCCGTGATGTACATACTTCAGATTACGGAATTAAGTGGTCAGTTACGCCACAACACGAGAGACTGATGCACGAAAGAGCGCATTGAACGAGAAAGAGTCGAAACCTCATACAATTCAAAACAAAGGCAGTACGGTTAGGAAACAAAACCCCGCCTCATACGATGAGTTACGTGAGCACAGAGCAGAGTAGAGAAGTTAGCAACGGGCGAATAAGCGAAACGGGAAAAAAGTCTGAAAGTTGAGGAGGACGCCAATGCATATCGAGTCAATCGCAAAATGCTTAATGTGCACCGAAATACGATAGCCAACAAACCTAAGCCTTAATGCATGATTTTTGTCAGATGAACATTAGCATCGGTTTCAAGTGGTCATCTGTATGCAATGTGTGGGTAGTAGTGATAAAGCAGAGAACCGTCATTAGGTTGTGGAAGTTGATTGGGGAATATACTACAAGAATCACAATTCGATATCACTGACAAGTTCATCGTTCATAGTCCGAGTGCCAAAACACAGCGGATACGGCTGTCGTGAACTCTTATCGTCACGATAAGAAAAACTATTAACGGTGACGGAAGCGAAGAAAATGCACGGAAAAAATACCGTATATTACCGAATATAAGCCGATGTTTTTGGACAGGTTCCATTTCTGTAGTGGGGGGTCGGCTCATAAAAAGTCACATGCTAAATCCACCCAGGAATTCGCTGCATATCTGTGACCCTATCTCCCATTAGTAACACCCGCTACTGATGGACGGGGACTTGAAGTGCCTATAAGTAGACACATCGCTTCTGTTGAGACACTTCTTCACGTTTTCACGGCTTTGGAAGATCGCAGGAAATGTGGACACATTCCTTTTTGTCGCGTTAGCGCTGTTTTGGTTAGCGAGTCAAAGCGCTTGTACATTATGCTACGTTGGGTGATTCGGTAACTTAAAAGTACAATGTCGTCTCACACCACTGATCGTGAACTTCCCTCTCACCTGCTGCTCCACTAAGATTCAGATACATGAGACCCCAGAGTATGCGAGGCGATGTCTGACATACCCTTTCACCTTACCACGTATTATCGGTTGTCTTATCTGTTTCATGTCACTTGATGTCTGGTCAATGCACTGATCAGTGCGATGAGTCTGTGTTCTGACGGCACTACGTCCCAGTAACCACGATTATAACATAGTACGGTCACCAGAACTGACCAATAGTAGAACACACTCAAATGAGAGCGGGTAGTGATGAAGTCAAAATCGTGGAGAAACAATTTCGTTTCTCTTTTTGCTGATTTGTTGGAGGTCTACTTATATAAGGACTTACGACTGGACAAATTTGATGTTGAAAAGTTATACTGTCAGCTTATCTATGGACGGGCTTATATTCAGTAATATACGGTAAATAAGATGTTAAGTAAAAGACAAGGAAATTGTAGAGACTAACGGCCACATGCAAGTGAATGGGTGCGGGGCGAGCGCTGATGTGACCGATCCCGTGGCCCCATTCAGGAAATCGACACACACACACACACACCCTCTGGACCACATCTTTCGTTGTATTCATCCACGCAATGTGATAAAGCCACCAGTGGGCCCCACATTGCGATTTTACCCAACTAGGAGCAGTGCAGATGATCGGTGTACAATCCTGCCAACGTACGCAGTTCGTGTACAACAGAAGCGCTATCGCGGAACTGGAGGGCTTGTGGTCAAAAAATGGCTTGATGATAGTACGAGTTCCCGTTAAGAACTGGAACCAAATGTGAGAAACACTATGCAGCTATGGCTAAAGAAGGCACGTATCACACTTTTTCAGCACGCAGTGTCTGTCCCCTGGAAGTACTTTGTATAAAACGATGTTCAGATGTATGCAGATGGGATTAGATATCCTGATTGGCATGTGTTAACAGCATTTAGTCCAAAAAATGAACATGTCCGACGTGGCATATATCGAACGTTCTGAAGAACGGTTATATTATCCGTGAGACGCGAAGAAATCCCAGCCTCCGGGTAAATTTATTTGCTAACCTGCATACTTTGAAGTGAGGAAAGATGTTCCGAAAGAGGAAACAGTTCGACCGAGGCCAAATGAGCTTCCAAGACAAAGAGGGGTTGTAGTTGAAAGCAGAACGAATGCCTCCAAACACCGCAAAAAATAAACCAGGTTCTGTGAGATGACAAGGTGATAACTTCAGCGGTAAGACCTGGGGGTGTCATGCCCCTCTAACTTCGTTAGATAAGGCAGTTGCTCAGGTTCGCTGTAATACATGTTCAATAGAATTCATATAAAACAGCGGGCTGTGAAACTACCAGTCAAGTATTGTTGCAGATGAAAAGCAGGGAATGGATTAGTTTCAATCACCCCATACGAGCAGCCGTCAGGAACATTTACTACAAGCCCTCCGAAGATCACAAAATTAATTGAATCAAGAAAGAATAAGAGAACGCTTCTAATTATATAGTTTTAAACCATTACAATATTTTATGGCAGAAATAGTGATTTTTGAAAATGCGGTAGAACATCAATCGCTTTGTGTATCTTAACGAAGTAGTCAGGTTCAATTCTTCAAGATAGTTGACTTGGGAACTCTAATGCATTCTGGAAAGTTCGCCAGAATGGTACTACAACGTAAAGATGTGAAAATGGAATTTGTGCTGATGGACCTAGTCAAGAAGACTGAGAAGTATTTCGTCCTACTGATGCATAACAAAGTGTGCGTACCACGAGACTGGTGGAGAAGAAGGAAACGACCAAACTAGACACCATCCGCCTACATCCAATGTGACGTACACGGCCAACTGCAGTAAGACAAAAGTTAGCAACACTAGACCGGGTTAGAGGGCTGCGGAGGAGGTTAATCTGCAAAGCAATTCAGAATGCTCGTAGCTCGAGCACATTATTCAAGCGTGGTCCATGAGCGCATGGACAGACTGGGGAGACGCTAAAGTCGCATTCGCGATAGAGCACATAGTCGGTTAGTACAACCCCTACAAAATGATCGGCAATCAACTCGTTGACTATTCAATGGTCCGGTGACTTGGACGAAATAACGGTTGTAGATATGGCGTAAAAGCCAGGACGTGAATCGCTGGCATATGGTGAAAAACATAGGCAATACATTTACACCTACTGATAAAAGGAATAGTAGTATAAAATTAACCAACCTCCGTGAAGGCCGCTGATACGTAGTTTTAGAGGCTTGCGTCCAGATTCGTCAGAAAAGAGGGCTTTTATTGCATCAAAGTCGAATAGTGCACGAATGTGTTGTGCATAATCACGCACACTGCTTATCACATTGACCTGAAGTGAAAATGAGAAACTAGTACAGACAACAGCGTGATAGAAAAAAGCTGGTGTTCTCCTCACAAAGCGCAGTACAGGCGATGGCGGTAGTCACGAAAAGCATGGGTGGCAGCCTACCTAAAAACTCACATCTATGCTCGGATTGTCTAAGAAAGCTAGAACTTGCAGATCGAAGATGAAATACCACATACATAGCAGCTAGCGAAGTACAGTCCAACCTGCTACGGCGAACAATCAAAAACATCCCCAACGTTTTCTCCTTTGAGCAATATCCCTATACATGAACCTGTCCATGGCGACCACCTCTCCAAGGTGAACAATTTTTGGCGGTCCCTTGAGTAGTCGCCTTAGACAGCTAGCAAAATAAACAGCACAAAGGGGCATACGGAGTATGACCATGAAGCTTATCGCACAGGGAGTGGGGCTTTGCGACACGAAGGCGGATGGCACGAGAGTGGTTTTACGGAAGCAAAACTAGAGTATCCAACAGACAGATGGAGTAATCACTACGCCACGCCGGATCGGAAAAGGGTGAGAACAGAAAATCAAATATTTGAAGTAATGAGGTTGTGGGATGTCTGTTTCAGCAGCTTGTTAAGAGATCCAATCAGTTCGTTAAAGCAAATCGGAGTAACGACACGGAAGCGCGTTTGCATCAGTGCGACTCAACGCCGAGATGCTGTGGATATGGCGACAAGGTACAAGGAACGATTAGCGTTTGGAACGGGAGTGGTCGACGAAAATGAGTGAAAAGTGGTTTGTGTGTGTGTGTGTGTGTTGAAGAATATCGTCAACCGAAGATATAGTGCAGAGGTGAGCAATAGCACTTCACCTTGGCATGTTTCCAGAAGCAAGCCTCCTTAACTTTGTGACACCATGACGCGATTCAGCGAGGATGCAGAACCGCGGTTAATATCGCTCGAACCAAATATGTAGAAGTAAAGGCTCAAGCGCCTTCTGCTTCGACGATGATGTATAATAAAGATGGAAGTGAGAATCGTCAATGGCAAAGCCCGTGGAATGGCCGAACACTCACTGCGATTCAGGCACGTAAGGTAACGCTGCGATAAGATCGGTCTTACTGTGTAGACCAGCGAAGTAGCAGTGTTGGATCACCGGTGTTTGCGGAGTATTGCTCACGTCTGGTAGGAACACCGGGCGAGTAATGCTGAGGTCCGCCAGTTCGTTTTTGTCAAGAATTCTTCTGATGCTTCATTAGTGTTTGCTGAGTCTTAATTGCTCACGTTGGCTAGGTCCTGTCCTCCGTATGATGGTTGACCGGCTTCCTCGGCGTGCATCATACGTTGTCGTTGCGCCAAGTTGGGTGAAACCTCGATGTGGCATAACGGCATGTAGAAAATGAACAAGAGACTTGGTCAGGCCGATGCCTGTTGTTTTGGTGAATGGGGGCCATGGGATGGTCAACACCAGTGGTCGGAGACCCTTCCAGACATGGTGCAGTCGCGCAGTCAGTGGCCCTCCTGCATTCGCTTTCTTGCTTCCAGCTCTTAATTTAATTCCAACCCGTTTAGCTTAACGTACTTTCCAATTATTTACATTATATTTACTTTCGACCTCTTTTCCTTACCGTTGTTATTTATTCTGACGACATGAGCCGTGGCAACTGGATCCATCGCACTTCGGTGCCTGGATCATAATTGTTTAATCAAAATGAACAACTGTACTGATTCGGGCACGTACGCCTATCAGGTCAAGGTTACACACTTCGCAAAGCCATCAAAGCGAAACAGATACAGCAATCCTAAAGCGTACATAATAGAACGAAGTGGTAGAAAGTGCGATGCCGCGTAGCTTTCTGCATCTATCAACGGTCCGTGATTTGTTACCAATTACCGTAAATATAAAAACATAAGCATACAGGATGACGACAACAACATGTTAGAAGAGATGTGCATAGAAATGCAATGGAGTACAAGCCTCAGGTTCAGATAAAATTGTTAGAGATTCCGATAAGTATCAGGCTGAGATAAAAGCGAGGAAACAACGCTGTAAGTAAAAATGACTCGAACTCACGCGGAACGTTGTATCGTTGCTCAAGTGAAATTCAGTGGACCCGATCACACTCAGATCAAAGTCAAGTGGATCGGAAAGAGTTTTATATCGATTGATGGTTTTGCTCGTTTCATAAATGGTGTTGGTAACTTTCTCCGGAGATGGGCCACCGTTTTCACAGTTGAACTTGATACCAAAGTCTGCGTTCGGGCCACCAGGATTGTGACTGGCAGTGAGAAGGATGCCGCCGTTGAGGTTGTATTTGCGGATCACACAAGATGCCGCCGGAGTGGATAGGATACTGTCCTGCCCAACCAGAACTTCGGAGACCTGAAGAAATCCAAAATCGAACCGCGGTACACAGTGAACACAATGACCCAGTGGAACGGCTCGATCAACGCCTAATCAAATTGACCCAGTCGTTACAGGTCACTATGTTAAAATTGTACAAAGGAACCGACAAAATGTGTAACCGTATGTAGCTGTTAACAAACCGAACCATGGCAAGATTTCAAATGGTGCGTCCCTGATGGACAGAGTGAAATAGTAGGGGTGGAGAAAGCGACGATCAGTGTTAATGAGCAAGTGTTGGTGACAACTAGAGATGAATGCAGAGCAGACACCATAGAACCAACAGTTAGTAGAAAAATGATCATATTAAACTGCAAATGATCTGAGAGCAAAATATTCCAATTGGAGTATTCACCAAGCCTGCTGGACGTGTACAGATGTTGCAAGGGTTGAGAATACAACAGTATTAATTTATCGCCAAGATAAAAGTAAAACTGTCAAGGCAAAGTAGTCGGAAGAGAACAAACCGAACGGATAAAGAACGCGAATGTGGTAGGTGAAAAGGTGCAATCAGATCAGCGGCAGTTGAGTCACGGAAAAGCCCATCGGAGTGTGTGCATCTATGACTTGTGTACATTACCCATATAACTGGTGATTCGAGAGGGCAGCAGAGGAATGCACATGTGAACCGCCATCGCGACTGGCATGCCCATGAAAAAACATTCAACTATTAGGTACGGATTGAGAGGTGCAGATTATGCATAACTAGTTCCAAATGAGTAGGCAGGAGGTACTTGAACCAGGCAGGAGACAATTAATGGTCATTCCATGGTGTTCATGGCCTTAAAAGAAACGAGCGTTAAGCTAGTTGGAAAAGGGACACTTGAGGCATGAGGATAGGGTGGCACAAACATCAGCATAATTGAGCCAACTGCTCTTCATAGTATCGGGACGTGATTCGGACGGAAGCATACAGGAGCGTCATCATCATCATCATACATTATACACGTCAGCTAGAGGTGGGAAACATCTCAGCTACTGTGCCGCAGCAGCATAAATCTTCTTGAGGGGATACTGGGGTTTACAGAATGGGTGATCACACCACAGTATACCGTGCGGCAAGTGGTGTGATTATGACGTTGGTACAACCCACAGTCCCATGATTGTATCCGCGAGTAGCGTTACTCGGACCAACATTGAGTGCATGAGAGGGGGTTCGGATTACGCTGTGCTAGACTGTGTACTTAAGCAGAGAAACCATGACCCACAGAGTAAAGACTACGATATATACATTTAAAGCTCTGTACGACCGTCTCACCCTTTCGGAAAAAAGTCAGCAATGCGCACTCCATCTGAATCTTGTAGGGCACGAGCCCGCAACTCAACTGTTACCAGTCCGTGATGAAGACCGCTGGGCTACAGGGTACGGTAACGGCCGACGTGACTAACTTATAGGATGTGCCATATCGCCGCACAATATCCGCTGACATGCATGTTACTGTCGTGCAGAGGACAGGGTAGCCTCCTCACTGAATTTAGATTACTGATTACTGATTAGAAGCAGACATAAAAGGTATCTCCGTAAATGATGGGTCAGTGTGAGTTACATTTAACTCAGGTACAATGACGCATCATGTTGTAGTGCGTCCGATATATTTTATATCGGCAGTGTTTGCCCAGGAATTTCTTAAATTCCGACACTGACTTTCCCTCAACTACGTGCTGCGGAAGGCTGTCCCATACATACATCACTCTCCGTTCGAAACATAATTGGTGGGCGATCCGGTTCAAATCCGGTACTACAAGTTTGTACCAGCGCCCTCGTGTGCTGTTTAGTGGGCCTAAACGCAGCAGAGGCCTCAACATGGAGTAGTCGCAGAGATGTAATATCATGTGCATCATTATGCGATCAACTCGTAATCGACGACAATTTAGGGTGTAAAACCCTTCTCTCTTACACCGGTATTCGTACGGCATACCTCGTAAATTGAAGACAAGCCTAGCGGCCACATGCTGTACCCGCTCAACCCTTCCTACGTCGCCGCGGGGTGGATAGGACGGTGGCATGCGGGTGATGAATTGCTAGTCATACCATTCAAAAATCATTCTACCACTTCGTAATCCCGGATTCCCTACCACCTGCACTATTTAAGGATGGAGGTGAGGTCCTCTGCAAAGCACTGACCTCCCTATTCGAACGTATCTGGAACGAAGAGAGTGTGCCGGCTAATTGGAGCGAATCGATTATAGTGGCAATATACAAGAAGGGCAGTCGCACAGACTGTTCTAACCACAGAGGTATTAGCCTAACGCCAGTTGTGACAAAATTACTGGCCTCAATTATCGTTCGTCGCCTCACTGCAGAACGGGAATCTCGGATTAGAGAAGAGCAGGCCGGTTCTCGCCCAGGACGTGGCTGTATATACCATATATTTACTTTGCGGCAGGTGCTAGAGCAGGGCTACGCATACCGCAGACCGACAATAGCTGTGTTCCTCGATTTCAAGAGTGTGTTCGATCGATTCTGTTCGAAATACTTGCGCGGAAAGGTGTTCCCACGAAATATGTGAACATCCTTCGTGCTCTATACTCGAACACTAGAGGCCGCGTCAGGGTCTATGGTGTCCTATCGGATAGCTTTCCGACTACTAGTGGCGTTCGACAGGGTTGCCCGATTTCCCCATTTTTGTTCAATTTCGTCGTGGATTCTATCATGGAGTGTTCCCTTGCGGAATCTCACGATGTAGGTGTTGAAGTGCTGCCTGGTGAACGGTTAGTTGATCTAGATTATGCGGACGATATCGTCTTGCTTTTCGACAAAGTTGAGGCGGCACAATCAACCCTGAATAGCCTATCCAGAGTGGTCCCATTATTTGGTATGCACTTCGCACCTTCAAAGTGTAAAGTGTTGTTGCAGGACCACCAGCCACTCGATGACCCCTTGACGCTTGCTAACGAGGAACTCGAGGTGGTTGATCAATTCACTTATCTTGGCAGCTGCATCAGCAATGATGGGCGCATAGAAACTGACGTGAGCTCACGCATTGCAAAGGCTAGAGCTGCCTTCTTGAACCTGCGTCATCTTTGGCGACAGAAGGGAGTTTCCCTCCGTCTGAAAGGCCGTGTATACAAGGCCACAGTGAGGGCCGTTCTGCTCTATGGTAGTGAGACTTGGCCCCTTCGGTCTGAAGATCTGAGGCACCTTCAGGTCTTTGATCATCGTTGTTTGCGAAGCATTGCTGGTGTCGGATGGCACCAGCGTGTCCGCAACGATGATGTGCGTAGGCGAGTACTAGGTGGTGATGATCATGCTAGCTCCCTAGAACAACAGATAGCACTGAATAAGTTACGCTGGCTCGGGCACGTGCTACGCATGCCTGGTCACCGCTTACCTAGGAGGGCCTTGTTCAGTCTACCAGGTGTAGGATGGCGCAAGGCTCGAGGTGGACAGAAGTTGACTTGGCAGCGGGAAATGAAGTCACTGACGACCAAACTGGGTGCCGTTGGTCCGTCTCGCCTTCCGGGTTGGAGTCCACGTGACTCGCCTTGTACTTGGCTCGAGACTTTACAGGACATGGCTCGCAACCGACACCAGTGGCGCGTCTGCTGCCGTCTCCTAACCGGATTGTCTTTTTAAAGTGTGTTTGGTGCTGAGTTATCTGCGGGGTAATGGCTGATTATGACGCGTGGCAGTGAAAGCCGCAAGGAAGCTGTCTCGCCGATGCCGCCTTATCTTTGCACGATAGCCAGCTGTTTGTGACGGTATGTTGTCTACACAAGGTGTAGGCGCCTTGACCCTGAATGTTTGCTTAGGGCATTAAGGTTTTCAGGTAAGTCCCCCTTCTCTCCCTCTTCTTATTCTTTATTTCATAGGTCCTCATGGTTGTATGGCAGCGAAGCATCAGTTCAAATGGCTGATGTACTGCTGTTGATGATGATGATGATGATGATGATGATGATCGTAATCAGTACGCAGACTAAACTGAGTATAAATAAATAAATAAATTTGTATATTTGCCGACGGGAGGTACACGGCCCAATAAGTGGGAGCGATCATAAGTGAATTGGCGGCTTAAGCTTGAGAAACTCATCGCTTGGTGGGGAAGCAGTAACATGAAATTCAGCGGATAGTGAGCGGCGCTATATCACATCTAGTAACTTATTCACGATGGTCGTTACCGTCCCCGTATCGCAATGGTCTCAAACACGGGCTGTCAACAGTCAAGTTGAGGGTTCGATCGCCACACTGCACTGCTGACGATTGCCCAAAAGATGAAACGGCCGTTAAGTGCTTTTTTGGGCGTGTGGTAACTGTCTGATTGAATCTAGATGTGATGACTTCCTACTTATAGTATTCAAATCTTCTTACTACTCCTTTGAGACACATTAAAAGTCTGTAAAAAGCACTCAATGTAAGCCATGGAAAACGCAAAGAAATCATATGAAAACCGCCTTAGCAATCCTGTTTCCTAAGACTCACCAGAATCTGTTACTGACCTCAAGCTAGTGTAATTGGAGCTTCAAGTCTGTGTCGACCCGTAGTCTAGAGGTAACGAGCATGTGTCGTAATCTCGCGGAGTGGGTTCAAATCCAGGTAAGGATGGACGTCCACGCGGTGTACTCAGCCCGCGTGCCACCGCTGGTGGTCGCACGACAGCGTACAGCTGACATTATTATTATTATTATTATTATTATTATTAGTAGTAGTAGTAGTAGTAGTAGTAGTAGTGGTAACATGAGTAGTTATCTGAGAAACATGCTTCCGTACCTCGACTGGCTATGGCTTGAAGAGCCATGAGTCTGCAAAGGTTGTTCACCAGCAGACCGATGAGCATATTCGTCGGTTTAATTTAAGTGAATTGCCATCTGCAAGCCAGAGGTGGATTTCAAAGTCCAAAAGTACGGAGAACTTGTAACAGTTGTTATGACAAACTAATAAGACCGGAGCAGTGAAATGCGCTGGGTTCAGCTGCAATGACTAGATCAGTTATGAAAATACTACTTGGCAGCGAGGAAAATGTGGGGAAAGTGTAGAGAAG